AATACTTTTAATTTTAATGATAATAATATACATAAGTAATTTTATAAGGCTTTTTTAGAGCCAAAAACAAGCAAAATCAATAACGACTAATCTCCAGGATTCATCATCTGTTTAAGAAGACCAGATAGGAAATCTGACCAAAAATCTATATAGGAGCTTGTTTATGTTTGTAAACAAAGGACGACTAGCAGGTTGTCAAGCAATAAATATGGCAACATTTTCGGACTGTCCTGATAAGCTACACTTTGGAAGAGCATTTGGTTTTCGTAAAAACACATTTTTGAAAGGGCAAGCCAATAGGGGTAACATTACGCAAGTATCGCGCAGAATATGGACGACACTTCTTGTTGACGGAGGTAATACTAAGGTGATCGATCAGGAGTTTCGAAGGAACTGAGTCACTTGCAGATAAATCGAAGCCAGAAAGACAACAAACCGGACGAATAAGTCATAACATCGGAGTAGTATATTAGACCGAAAGTGAAAACAGTTCGATTAAGAATATTTATTTTTAATTGAGAGTGGAAGATGGGTATATGTCGCTAAGTAGAACAGTGCTGCTTATCATCACTGCATCAAGAGCTAGTTCTACACGTTACGTTTCTGGAGCCTTCAGAAATATGTCTGTAAAGCAGAGCAGTTGTGCACTAAGCCAAATCAAATAATCAAGCAATTCGAAGCATCACGTAATCCGAAAAATTCTTACTTTTAATCAAATTATCAGAATCTTAAGGTTAATTTATGCAGGAAACAACCAACAAATAATACATAGAATTTATTCGCTTTTAGTGGCAGTTGTTTAACAACAAGGCCGACATAAAGATATATAAGGACAAATTGTATGATATGAAGTATCATTTTTTTCGATAATGATCGTTTACTCACGTCATTTGGATTACAGCATTCACAGGCATAAAAATTAGAATCGATACTGTGAGTTATGACATGAGTGCAAAGCCTGCAAAACTAATTAGTATGCCAAGCTCCCAAGCTAGGCCACTAGAGGGCTGCTAGCTGTACACTAACACAACTTCCTCTTTATCTACCGCGAATACACCCCTCATTTAACCACTGAAAACGCGCATCTATATAAAACGTGGTTTGCAAAATGGATGAAAAGGTAGCGGTTTTCCCGGCTCAGATCTTTCCAGCCATTGCGTCCGTGCCGAAAAATATATTGTATATTATTACAGCGATACCGCAAGTCTAAAACGAGATTTCAGACCTTCGGTGAAAGCTGCTTAGAAGTGTAATAGGAGTGAAGTTCTTAAATGATTCCCGAAAAAAGGAGAGGCTTTACTTACCTAATCATATTCGCGGACATTCCTGAAAATGGAAGGCTAATGCATATTCAAAAAGTCGCAGAAATACCTAAAGCTCAAAATATACTAATTATAATAATGTTATAAATCTATAATCATTTGGCACAATCGTAGGAAAATTGTAGGAAGCGCTTATGCTCGTTCCGGAACTGTACTTGTCTGTGAAAACTAGGGCAGTGAGCACAAAGATAAGTACGTATATTTTTAATACGCGATACCCAGGTCCAAGAAATGCTACCAAGTTGCCTTCTTGTCACAGACATTACGTACGAACTGTTTATGGGACATATTTGTGGAATGGTTCAAAAGAAGAACCTCAAATATTTTTCACTTTTGATAATATACAACGCAGATGCTTTATTACGAGGGCAAACATTTAGTAATACTTTAGCTGACACCGTAGCTTAATTTTACATTGAAAAAAAAGTCACAAAAATATGCGACGTTCCGGGATTTCATATCTTGTGCAGTGCCCTCCTGGAGACTAGGTAGCCTTAGGTTTCTTACTTTCTTTTTCCAAAAGATCTTTATGCTTTTTAAGAAAAAAAAAGCTTTTAAATAGATATAAAATAATGTATATGCATAGTGTTAAAACGGGCGCTTTTGCAAATTGGTGCATGAACATATCATTGCAATAAATTTTAAGTTCCCAGGCATATGCTGATAAACGGAGCCAATTGTTGCTTTAATCGGCCAAGGAAGACCAAAGTTCTAGGTGGCAAAATGTACAGGTAAAAGAATGCACAGAAAATAACAGATAAATGTACAGAAAGAAAAAACAGATAGCCCTAGTTTTACAGCCCTATGAACGCAAAAAAGCAAGTACCTTCAAACCAGACTATTAATATTTTAAAAGGGTATCAAAAGAATAATATATTAATATCTGTTAAATGCGCCGTGACTTACTAGAAATAACTAAATGTGCAATGCTTTGCGCCTAGGACAATTGACTAAAATACTGGCTCGATGCTATAGTTCTGCTGGCGATTACACTAATTAGATACACTTATCAGAAACTATTGAATGAACGGTTAGGCTAGTGACAAAAACAGAATCGTCTCGCAGTAACTTACATTTCGCGCGATGTGATCACTTTCACGATTGAACAGCGACTATTGCATGTGGTCAGATTCTCGTCTCTAAATGTAAAAGATCGTTACTGCTACGGCCATTGAATATATAGGAGCACTGTGTAGCTGTAACTAGTCTAGAAACGATTTAGAATAGCTTAGCTAAGTTAACCGCAAAGTGGTGCAATAAAGAGATTTCAGGTAACTATTCTAAAAATTGTGACGCCTCAGGTGAACGTATTTCTTGTAGAAAGCGTACCATAACATGAAGTACTTACTTATTACAGTTGCATGTCGTAATTCGCGTGAAATAAGGTATTAGCACGTGCAATAATGCTTGCAAATTACGTAAGTTTTCCTCAATATGGCAATTTTACGTTGATCTGACTAAGCAGTCAGGGTGTTTAAATGTCTGTAAAGTAGTTATTACGTATATTCTATTTATTCGTCGTTATAATCGTTTCGGTGTGAATATTAATCCTATGAATAAAGTATTCTGTAGGTCTTGTGATTGTCATGAAATTTACGTAGATGAATAGCAAAAATGCAGGAAAAATCTCAGATACTTACAGATACTTAGAAAAAGTTCACTCAGGCATCGCAGGGGAATCCTATTGGTATTATTACTAAGTCCATATCTTTCTCTGCCCTAAGTAAACTACAATAAGTATCTAATTTGTCATTGACCAAATACTCTTTCGATATTCGCTGCTCTGTGGATTACTTTCTATTCTTAATCCATTACTAATTAGGTAAATTATAATAACAACATAGAGTTTTATTGCTCTGAGATCATCTTTTTCAAGTTTAGGATGGACCCACATGAAAAAAGAACTTAACCTAAAGCACCTTACAAGCACAATTCCTCTAGATCCTCTGTAGTACATAACATGACCAGGTTACTCTAATAGCCCGATTGCCTACTCTGCTTTGCAAAAGAGCGCCAGCGTGTTTAGCTAATTCTTATAAAGATTGGGATTTTGGCTTTCATCTTAATAAAATGCGATTTTGATACCCTACGTAATGAAGGCAACCATGGCTCATCAAAACTTAATATGAATATGGTTGTGCACACTATATCTTACGTAAAATCATCTTTTTGGCTAAATGTACTGTGGTGTAATCTGCTGAATCACACGCGTTACGTTCTCCAAGGGATCTTTCACTGCAGATTTTTATTATACCATTCCAAAATAAACGTTAACTGAGACACAATTTATTATCATATATACCATTTGGATTTTATTAGCTGAGATAAATTGATCTTTAATGAGCTTCTCTATAACGCCAGTGACAACAGAGGATCTGGAAGACGTACGAATACCACAATTATTACTATCTTTTTTATCATTTTTTTCCCTATTACCTGTGGCGTTATCAGTAATAACGGTATTATAAGTGTAGTCAGTACTGCTATGAAGCGACGCTTGCAAGATAGTTTCTCTTGTCAGGCGTGGTGCGGAATATTTTCCAAAAATATCCTATTAGCCATTACTGTTATCGGTAGTGCTACTGTTCTATCCTGGTTCCTGAAAACTGATGGCATAGGATAAACGGTGAGAATACAATTGGTTGATATACTAAGCTTGTCTCTTATATGACGAGCATTTCGACTGAGCTTACGACATCGTCGGAAGAAAAAATGCAGGCTCGATAAATCAATGTAATACGTAGTGGCTGCTATTGTTGTAGCTACTATAGCTTTCCTTTACATTTGTCGGCTCCTTGTGTTATTTGCTGGGATTGTCGACGCCTCCTCTAAGACGGCCTGCTATTTCTTATTAGAGGGCATTCGTTTACGAGGTGGCCGTAAATAGGAGCAAGGGATATGAACAGGACTGCATGTTGTGTCCGAGCAAGCTGCCTACCTCGATATCGAATAGCACATGTGCAGTAAGCTGCCTGACGGGGAGCAGGTTGAACAAAGGTGTTCCAGGTTGTAAAATCAACGGTAGTGAGAAGAAAGCTTAAGTTGACTCTCGCTAAAACTTGGACTTAAAAACTCCAACAGTCTGTTGGTCTGCTTCACCAAAAGGTAATCTTGTTCATTAAGCCTTTGCTCCTGTAGGTTTCATCTAATGTAGTTGGTTTTTTTTATATAATTATCGGTTAGCTAGTATTAGTTAGACTTCCTTGCCGCTTGTACATATGTAACGTGCTTACAAACGATTAGATAAGTGTTTTTCTAACGATAATAGAAACACAATATAATACCGTTCACAACGGAAACAAAAATAGTTGTTCTCAATTATTGGCATTCCAAGCTTGTATATTATTACCAAGTATTAGCTGCCTTAGCAGCTAAATAGATAGAGTTATACAATTAGCTTTACCAGTAGTACATCATGTAAAAACATTAACTGCCAAGCTCAAGACTTGACACGTGTGTTCAAGTTTATACATTTATATCAGGATGGTTGGAGTATGCACACATAAGGATAAGGCGCGCTGACCACGACAATGGTCTGGTTCACTGTTAAAGTAATGGGGCGCATGGCAGAAAACACACTGCTGCTGGTGTTCCCATGTAATTCTCCTCTCTCTTCCTGTGCGTACCGCCTAGAAACGGCCTCCGCAAGCACTGATTCGATTTGGTGGAGGGCTAATGCTCTGAGGGACAGAGTCACGGAATGACGGAGAAGCCAACAAACCGACAATAGCCTCCTGCAGCAGCGCTCTGCTGCAGCTTACAGTTGTCAGTGGTTAGTCGGCGGGCTCATTGCTATAGACGTTGCTGTCGTTTTCCGATCGACGACTCAGGGGCAGTTAAACCGGTGGACGGCGCCGTGGTTCCATGCTTTTTGTTCCCGTGACGACAGCTAAAACCACCACTTAGCTGCAGAATTTCTACTCATTGTTCCATGTGTAGTAGCAGTAGTGATAGTGGTGGCTGTGGAGATCCGTGTATGGTTATTGGCTTCCGTTTGTGAGTGACTCATATCAGCCACTCAGTCTGTCAGTTGATCGCCATTGCTGGTTGTGGGCGGGCATGATCTGCTTATGCGTCCCTCATTGGCAGTCGTGGACCATGTGATACTCGTCAGCCATTGAAGATGTGAATCTAGGCCAGTGCAGCCACTGAATGTACGTTGATTAATAGAACATACCTTCGGAATAATTAAGTAAACAATATCAAGATTAACCACGACAACATCGTAAAATGGATACTAAGTTTTGCTTTACGCTCTGCGCAAAATTACGGATAAAGGGTTTCATATATCTCATACTCAGGATAAATATACCATCAAGGTGAACAAGTCGAACTGGAGTAGTGCCGTGTACAAAACGGATAAGTGCAGCGTTATTCCACATCTCAGTGAAACAGTACGCCTAAAGCAGTTTCGGTATCCTCACTTCTTCTACCTGTTAAAGGATTATAGGAATATGGTCTAACCTTGTGATGTGCTTCTACCCCTATTACAGTTAATGTGTCTAACGTCTAACGTGCGCGTCACTGATATTTTTGCTGTTTGTGTCATTGTTATTGTCCTCTCTTGCTATTCTCATTTCATGCGTATCTATTTCAGTAAGGTGAGCTAAGGCGTGGTTTAGTGGGGATTGCGTGGCGTGCGCTGAAGGGCGCGATGTCGAGCTCACAAACGGGAAGCAAGGGCGAAGATGCCTCGACGCCCATGCTGCCCGGCGGAGCGAGTGGTGCAAGCCAAGCGCACGTCATCCGCATGGACTCCAGCACCACCAATCTACAATCATCGGTGAGTGCGTCAGATATATTGTTTGCACTGGATTTATGTAATCCAAATATTATTATAGTTTGACATGTGCTAGTTGTTTCCATTCAAGAGCCTATCAGAATCTTCTCTACCCATATATTTGGCGATACTGTATAAAGGTATATCAAACAACAAGAGCTGCACTATAGATGTTATTAAAAAAGATGAAGAAGCTGCGCCAATGTAACAGTCAATGTATCCCATTGATTTATAGAGCAATGTATCCGCCAAATGCGCATATAAACTATTTAGGACGTAGAGCGTCCTTTTTTAAATATGTCTGTATATGCCTATCAATTCAACTGTTACTTAAATTTCAAAGTTGAGCTGAGCTACTCACAGATGTAAAAATCTGTAGTGCTCGTATGAATATCTTTTGGCTGGATGCATAATCTAAATTTTCCATACCGTTGTCAATCACCGCAAACGCAGACGAAAGTTGAGCTTTCTTGAGCAACAAACCGAAATGTTACATTGGTTCTTAATATTCTCGATTGAGAAATCTATTTGTTCAATACAATATTTTAGAGTAGTAGTTGCCTTTATCATAGAGTATAGGGGTGATGCATTGTTGAAAAAGATAGCTCTAAGATCATCCCAGTCATTCGTATGCAACAGCGAAGCATAATTGATTTCGACTTTGAAATTTCAAGACCTCGCAAAATATTCTACGAATTGTTGAAAATGATATTTCGTCAATTCTGTGTACATTCAAGCTGTCACAATCATGAAATACGGCGTTTCTCAAAAACTAGAACGTCGTTCACCTGATTGGGACCATACATGAATATGAAATTCAAGTTAAGAGTTTAAATACAGTCTTAAAGTAATTGTTTTTTAAGATTATCTATAGTTACATATCCAAGATAATAGGAATTTTCTAAATGTTTGCATTTTAACTTAATTAGTGGGAACGTTGGCTGAGAGTGTGCTTTTAAAATTTTGAAGTAGAAGTACAGTAATCTCCTTATTTGCTGCTTTCATCAGAGCGACTAACAAAACTGGATATTTACCACGGGTTTCCTAAAAGACTAAACAAAGAACCTTGATGAAATTCTGAAAGGCTGGTCAAATCTTAATAAAAGATAAATTTAGAAAGAATAATTGACAGTGTATTTTGACGAACTATAATAGTTCAGTGTTCTCCTCTGTATTGACTACGGAGGCGAAGCTTTTGGACGTTTGCCAGAGAAGTATTACATTCAAAAGGTAAAGGTGAACATTCTAGCTTTTTATAACATTTTAGTGAACCTATGCGTGACAAAATGCGGATTTTATTTACTATGTTACTATATCTATATATAGTATTATTTTAAGTGGATAGTCTGATGAATATACAATAATTTTCGAAATTATTATTTGCTTATCAGCGAGCTATTTGAGCCGCAGTGCATCAACTAATTTTTATCATTATACATTCCATCATAGCCAACATCAAGTGAGATAGATCACAGCTATCCGGCCCCATAGAGACAAAAGTTGTTCGGCTTACTGTGCATTAATGGTAGCCGTCAAATTATTTACACCAAAGATTATGAATAGAATATATTATGAGTAAAATAAAAATGATTTTTGCTTGTTCTAACTTATCGATATGTATGACATAAAACAGCAAAAAAAGGATACCATATATAACAATAGATACTTAGTGATTCACAGAGAACGTCCTAAATACTCCAATAACATATCTGCATACTGTGTGCTTTAAGGTAGGTTACATAAGAATATCAGTGTTTAATTTTTCAGATTTATTGCTTGGCTTTTATTCTGTGATACGTCGATGTGAAAACATTACACTCATAATATTTGATTCTCAAACAGCGTTTAATAACCCCTCTGTTCTTTTATGGCGGAACTATATATCGTCGTTGAGTATATTAGAATACCTCGGCGCCAGCTGTGAAAGACAAAATTTCAAAATTTATTACATGTGTATATGTATTTAGTCTTTTACTTTATGTACCACAGCGCCACTTATAATAAGTTATGAAACTATAAATAAGTAAAGTCTAGTAGAGTCTTTGTCTTTCAAATGATGGGGGCAAAAAAGATCTGACATGCTAATTATATTAAAACTATTTTTCAACTGTAAGGAAAGGCAAGTTATCTTTTGGCTCTAAAACAGATTGTTGAATATCAACACATGTATTTAAAGTTGAATAAAATCTTTTTACTACCACAATTGAACTGACATGGTCTTCACCAGACGCAAAAGCAAAAAGGTGAACGTTGTATTAGCCTATATTAGGCGAGTATACGTAATGGTCGAGTCGACTGTCAGCGATCGCCTACAAAAAGCAGACCGTCTGTTCTTCACGAAAATAGACAAATATTTCCCTGCATCTGTTGTCGAGTTTGAGGGTAGCGTGACATTGATGGGTGACCGGAATGGTGTCAAACTGCACGGGACACTACTCGCTGGTTGTGTCGTTCATAGAATCATCATAGACCTCTGTCGAGTTTTGTATGAGGGGCCAGCCGTGATATTTCTGTTTCGTTGCCACTGATGCTGACTCAATAAGAGCCAATTGAGTTTCTCACTCGATAGCGCGGGGATGCCCGACCACATAAGAACTCTCTAGCTACCATCAGACCACAGAATCAAAGCTACCAAAACGTTACTACTAAGAGTACCCTTACTACAACCACCACTATTAAACGGAACATTATTGGACGTATGAGTCGTCTCTCGCACCCGTCCATCAAAATAAATAGAATAACGGAATTGTTTTACGCAATGAAAGCTACACAGCGTTACTACAAAGATAAGCGACTGCGCACCTACCATAAACAGCATCTGTGATCGTATTAGAAGTGGAGATGCTGGAATCAGCTTTAATTAGAATGAGTGAATTTTTAGATTGTTAAGAAATAGGTCTGCTACATATATATTTATGTTTTAATCTTCGTACATAAATTCTACACAGAGGTTAAATACCAACAATATTTTTGTTATTTTATGAATAGTTGACTACGATAGCAAAAAAATAATTATTTTTTTATAATAATATCTTTTGGCCATGAAATTAAATTTATATTGAAGTGCACTCTCAAACTTCTTTCGACTGTAGAAGTATTCGTGTTGAAATCGTGCGCGGTACTGCTTCATTTAGGACACAGAAAGTTCAACATCTGTGCGCATAACGGACATGTTGAAAAATTTATAGCGAAGCCTAATTACCAAAACTTCTCTATATATATTTTTAAACAGATAAAGATATATTTTGAAAAGAATGGAACAACATGGATCGAATTTTAATTTCTGGACTACACTCGTAACGGATTTTTGTAGGTAGACCAACACTATTTAAATCTATACAACAAACTAAGTTAAGCAATCTAGCCTAAACCGAAATGAATAATTGCAAAGTAATGAGTAATAAAATTAGACAGATTCTTCGAGCAATCCTGCCGTCTTTATATATACCGCCGTGAGTCGCATGCATGTTCTACATACGAAGTGTATCATAATAGGTACACTTCGTATTGATAATCCATAGATAAACTGTGACGAGGGTAATACGCCTAATATTATTACTAATAGTATATCGGTTAACAAAAAATAGTTTAATTCGGGATTTTAGTCATCAAAGCTAATCAATTTTCACACATGACATGCTTATCTTACAGTTTATTAAAACTCTCATCACGCATCTATAAACCATTTGTTTGAATAATTACGGATAATAACGACCACTTGCTGAAATGACCGGAAGATTTAAAAAATGCTACTGAATAAAAATTATTAAAGAAGGCAACGACTCTGCGCATACATAGTCAAATGTTTACTAAAAAACGAAAAAAAAAAAAGACCAAGTGGGTTTTTAATAACGGAAAGTAAAGAAGAAAACGAGTTCGGAATGAAGTTGATTCGAGATTAGTATACCGCAGTTAATCTTTAGCAAAACAACTAAGGCACAAAATAATACTATACTAATGCACAAAATCTTTAACATATTTCAAGTGGGAGTTAATCACGACTGTTAAGAATAAAAACTGATTAATGTGTAAACTTAAACGATGGTACTTTAATAGCAGGTTGTCCAAAGGGATGACAGATATGACAAGGTGGAAACAGATGCGTGTCATTATTAGTATCTACTTCAGTCTTTAAGATGTATTATATTTAAGAATTTGTCTAGAGTTTACTTGAATTGAAAAAGCTTCAACCAAAAGTTTCACACCGTTGTAGTAAAAGCAGGAACGCTGCGCTCTATGTAAGCACGACTAGAAAGCAAGCGCTGTTGAGAGTTATTATGCGTGATTATAAGCTTCTTTAGGTACTCAATACGGAAGGTTTACAATAGACATTACATAGAAGAAACCTCAAATTGATTTGAAAAGTGAAAAAGAAAAAAGTGTCTTTTTGATAACAGTCAATTTTAAGCTAATTTATATGAATTTAATATTTAGTTTAAGTGATAGGAATTAAGGAAATAATCGCTTTTCAAAAGCAGTTGTATGAATTAAAATGATGCATTCTAGTCCCGGAAGTGACAATTTATTTAGAGCTCATGAGACTGAAGATTTTAAGACACTGTTTTTAATTTAAGAAAATACAAATAATTTATACAATATTATTGAATAATACTGTACGCGGGAATCCCCACAAGATCTCTAAAAAAATGAAACAAGGTCAATACGCTAATGGACGTCGAGAAAGCGGTAATTGGAATGGTCAGTGGTTTGGCAGACAACATAACAAATATCGGGAAGTACGTAGCCTTAAAGGAAACGGTCCTACGATAGTAACGGCATGCCCAAACCCGCTTTACTTATCCAGAGGTCAAGCAGGCAGACAAAGCTTGCAACTGAATTAGGGAAGAACTGCATAATGAATTTAATAATCATTTGTTATGAAACTCCTTAAAATACATCTAAATAGTTTGTAGTGTGAGACTCTTCTCGCTGTAATGCTATCTATTAAGCATTGGTGTCCCAATCAGGTGGTAAGGTCAGTAGAAAGGCTATCTGACTTTCGG